TGAATTTTAATTTTTTATTATTTACATTGCATATTATTTAATTTTATTTCTTCAATTTTGCTACTACTAAGGAACAACCCCAATCTCCAACTGAGTTCGTCAATTTTCCATTGATCTATTAAGCAACTAATGAGCAATCCACTGCATTGTTTCTAAACAGGACATACAAATCTTCTTTCCATAATATCACATACATAATAACGGTCAAAAAGGAAATAAAATTACCTTGAGAAGTTATATTTCTTACTTCACTGTCATTGCACTTGTATCAGATAATAATTTAATGATTTTGCATGGCTATAATGAGTTTTGGCTTGGAGTCTCCTAATCTAGTTATGTAAGGTACAGATGATAAACTGACTGTGAAGCAGATTGAGATTTGAATTAATTTTTGATAATTTTCTGGTGAAAATCTCCCAGAATTTTCTATTGTGATTATTCCTGTCCTCACGCTTCTTTAGAAATTTGACTAATTGGAATTTCACTTTACGAGATTATGACATGGTTAAACACTAAAATTTTGTAAAGTTTTTTGCGATTTTGTGAAGGCAAAGTATTCACTGAATGCTTGCACATGAACGGCATAGTCGGGTGAAATTATTTCTAAAATAAAACGTATTAATATTTCATTAATTCATAAATTTTATCAATTCTCGTCGACTGAGCGGATCAATTCAAAGTGCTTGTAATGAAGCCAGCCGTAACATCAGAATAGTTGCAAACAATTTTTTTTTATTAACACATCGAAACACTTCCCATTTTGCGATGTGTAAGCTGCAGCTCGCTTTAAGGCAAATAAATCGCGTCTTCGGATGGCCTTCATCGGTTCCGAGAAATATTATTTTATGGAGTTGGTGTAACTTTGGGCAGTTGGAAGTAATTCATTATTTAAAGGAATAATAAATAAATGTTCTTGTGCTAATTTCACGAGTCCGTAAATTTTATATTTCTCCACAAAAACAGTCTGAAGAATATTTTGTATGCGTTACTATGTAATATTCAATATGTTTATTTATGAGGTCTACAATAGTACTGAAAAGCGACAGTTTTACAGTAAAATGCTTTCTTTACTTTACAGTACTCTGTAAAGATTGAATACTCTTGCAACAAACACTCTGGGCGGAACACGTCATGAAAGAGCTCACTGTAAAACTCCAGTGAGAAAGAACAGGGATCTTCTGCGAAACCCAAACATTCAAAGGTCATGCAAACCCACAATACACAAACTATGTTGATACATGCACTGGATATTGAAGACTACAGTGCACTCTTTAAAAACTTCAGAAACTGGATAGAAAAACAAACAACTTTTTTTCGAGCTAGATGTCTGAAAGTGCACAATGCGCCGCCTGCCCCAGCTGCACCGGGCCCCGGCCCCGCGCCACTCCCTCCGCACCGCCGCCGACGCCGCCGTCTCCGTCTCCGTCTGGGCTGCGGGAGTGGGGGCGGTCGCGCTGCTGCTGCTCACAGAGCAGCTGCAAGCCGCCGCCCGGCCCCACCCCCGCCCCCGCCCCCGCTAAAGTCCCGCGAAAATGCACACAAGAGCACGTACATGGAGGGATATGAATCTGCATTTCTCCACGGTGCGAACCTGAATTGATTGATTGGTGATTCCGGGCGCGTCAGTGGCTAAGGCCATTAGTCCCGTACGTGTAGTAAATGTTTTTGTTCTTGTGAGATAGCGGCGATTTTCGGCCGCTGGGTGGTGAGATCCGGTGACGCCCTACCTGTCGGCTAGTGGGGTTTTCCACAACCATCTGCCACCAGTGGGGCAACGCCCCAGCCGGGACAAGTTCTAAGCTCCCGACCGGGGTCCCGACACGTGTGGCAGTGCAGTGCATGTGAGTGTGTGTGTGTGTGTAAGTAAGAAATGGGGATAGGAATGATCGCGCGCGGTCTGTTTGTTAGGAAATTAATGTTATGGCATTGATGCTGCTCCGACATTCGACCAATATTGATCGGAGAAACCACAGAAAACTACCGATCAGATCACCCGGCCGATAGAATTCTCTCTCCAATTCGACCTAGGTATGTAGCTAGCGTCGATAATTCTCCCACCGTCGGGACTCGAACGCTAGAACCTCCTGGTCAGAGACACTGCAGTGACATCAAATGATGCCCTGAGTCATTTAATCTCCCAGTGCGAACGTGAGTTGAACACAAGGCGGATCGAAGGAAGGAGGAGGAGAAGTGTTTCAAAACGACTAATGAAATTAAAGATCTTACCCCTTAACCCTCGAACGAATACAGACGTCACAGAATAAATGTTACAAACATTTTGCAGATAAAATGGAGTTGAAAATGATGACTATGGGAGGATTTTGATGACCAAAACATTGCCAAAAAGATCAATAAAATGCTCTTAAATCGCTTTTCAAATGCCCTGTAAGAAAAATTACGTTAAAAATTTGATCAAAACCACTTCGGATGAAATACTCAAGTTGTTGGGTATGTTACTGATGTAATCGAGGCTTCTTCCTTTTGTTCAAGTGAACTCAGCTTGTAAATTTTTAGTTTACACTGTTCTTTAAAATAAAATCTCTGCTTTTATTTATCCCGAAATTGACCCAACTGACGGTGGCCCCGATAGGTATCACAGGAACCTTATAGATTACATAGCACTCACAAAGCTTGACATTACAATTTCTGAGCAAAGAAACCGATTAGGCTAGATTGATTTTTTTGGTGAACATTTGTTGCATATCGTAAATATTGTTTGAAGCAAGTACCATTAAAATGGTATTAAAATCGATAAAATCAGAGAAGATGCATTAACAATTATGTAAAATGCTAAAGAAATGCCTTACTAGTCGAAATCGACGAAAAATGAATCAAAAAAGACAAACATGGGTCATTTCGTTTTGTCTTAACAAGAATTTCTATACTAAACCGCATTGTTCTAAAATGAAAAGAAAAAATTACATTTCATTAAAATCTGACCCCTAATGATGACGCTGCCAGGAACATTTAGTGGGAAATTTTATATAACGAAGTTACACATGTGACATTTACCCCAGATTGTGAGGCAACGTTTATCCACAGGTGTTCTACAGGTTGCCTTCTGACACATTCAAGGAGGTTTCATGATCCTGTATAAAGGATTGCCTAAAATTTAGGGGCTAATATCGCCTTATAACTCCAATTTATTTTTCACTACAATCTTAATAGGCAAAAAGTTATTTTCGATCCTTCTACATGCTTTAGAAGTTTGTAATAGTTATTCTAAGACATTGCATACCCCGCACGCAGCCAGATCAGAAAACCTCAAGAACAAAGTATTTTGGCTTAAAAGTCGAAATAATGCACACACTCAAAATTACTTTACGTTAAGAGCGGAGGCTGTAGTCCATAGCCTCGTCATTAACTTGGACTTGGGTAGAGAAGCGTCAGCTGGCAAGCTGAAAACCGGTAATACCCTTTCTCCAGGGGAAAGAATTAAGTTGTGGCAGGAAACGATGACAGTTGTTTCCTTTACAGACTGGCGCTTAAAGACACTGTCTGATATATTTAAAGGATGCTCTTCAAAAAGGTTTGTTTTTCAGCTTCCAGAATTTGAACATTTCAAAGAAGTTCAAATGAATCTCCAACATAAGTACGATTTCCTCGACTGTGACATATTGATACTTCCAGCATTACACATTAAACTCTCTAGGTGTGATTGACTCCCAGCTCCCTTCAATTTGCACAGATCCAACTCGGTCCAAGAGTTAGCTTCTTCTAAAGAAGACGCCTTTTCGTTTCATATGGCTGTAGGGTGTCGATTCTTTCACGTTATGTATAATAGCCACTTAAAATGTATTCAAAACTTGTACTTAATAAATTTACAATTTAATATTGTTATTAAAACTTGATATATTAGAAGAAACATCAACAGTAATAATACGAGCTAACTTTTCCATTGAAAAGCACTAGTGGCGTTACTTGTGATAGATGGCGTTACTTGAGATAGGGGCACCCAATTACTTTTAATAAAATGTTACCGTACTTTTAAATTGTTAACATATTAATTTCGATGACGCGGGTGTTATTTAGTTACTATTAATTGACACCATATTTTGGTCGTACGGGCCCCATAAGTTCATTAATAAAGCACATATTTGTAGCATGGGTCAAGGTGTAGCATGTCCGAAGGGTGCTGGTCATTCCTATTAAAACTGCATCAATTCCCTTCCTCTTCCGCTCAAATTAGTTTCAAAATGACTAGTTTCTCCAGCCGACATATATTCAAAAAATATGTTGTATAAAAAGAGGGATTTGTTTTAGTACATTTGTTCACTTCTGAATAGCCATCCTCGTCTCCGCTATCTCTTTCTGTCTGCGTGTGTGTGTGTGAGAGGGAGAGGGAGAGAGAGAGAGAGAGAGAGGGAGAGGGAGAGGGGGAGAGAGCGAGAGAGCGAGAGAGCGAGAGAGCGAGAGAGAGCGAGAGAGCCGAGAGGAGAGAAAGCGAAGAGAGAAGGAAGGAGAGAGGAGAGGAGGGGAGAAGAGAGGGGGAGAGCGAGAGGATTAGGAGAGAGGAGAGGGGGGAAGAGAGGAGGAGGGGAGAGAGAATGTAGACACTGCGTTGTACCTAATGAAGGACTCAACTGCCCAATTTTAAAGTTAATTAAAATGTAATTACCGCCTAATATGTCATGTCTATGAAAACATTAATAAATTATTTCGCGAAACAACAAATCAACCACTCCTTTATCTATCCTGTCCAGTCCATCAGAAATAAATAGTTGTTTTTTTTTAATTAAAAAACGTGCTCACTTCGTTTTTATACGAGCATATCAGAGAACATCCAAAAATAAATAGTAAAGTTTGATAGGAGTTCAGTTTGTTCAACATATGATAAGAGATATTTATATTTGTCTCCCGGGTTGCGCGTCACTTACACTAAAAAAGAAAGTGCGGCAAGATTGACTCTCAGTCAATCTTGAGTTCTTGGCGCTTCCTGTTGCGGCAAAGCCTTCCGACATTCCTGAATCCGAGAGTGACCACAATGTGGAAGCATAACGACGTCATCAGAAGACAGATCTGCGAATCGTAGGGTGATTGGCAAGAGGTTGGCATTCCTTTCATAACCTTTGTCGGCTATAGTTCGTAACTTTGGGCTTGTTTTGTTGGTAATGCTTCTAAATGTCAGATTGTTTTCATTTCCTGTCTTCAGTTGGTGGCAACGTGGATGTCGTGTGGTATCGCTATGAGTGTGGCTTTCGTATCCTCGGTGTGTTTGTGTTTCATCCGCCATGAATTCGTGGAATAAAGGGCCTGTGAATGAAGAGGGAACGTCCATCTTCATCTTGATTCCTGCTCTTTTGAGCGTAGCAGCAGTGTGGAGTGTACGTCGATGGTGGAACAGTAGTTTGACGTTGCATACCCATGCTGTCAGTCGTCGTAGAAAAGTCACCCGCGACCCTACACTTGCCAGAAGGCCTCCTCCTTTTCCAATTTTAGTCCACAATCATGTTAATTCGAGATGTCAAGTCCAGGCGGATAGTATTCAAAATTGTCAGAAAAAGGTAAGAAAATTTAAAAATTAAATAGATGAATATTTGCAGTATGCTTTAGCTTTTGATCAGTCTAAGGAGGATAAAAACTCATAAGGCAATACAAATTTATTATTGAAAGTATTTTATTCATTCTAGGAGATGTACGGTGTTCGGTGTCTTTACGCGGGAAACTTTGACCATTGCGAATTACTGCATATAGAATCGTATGAGCTCTTGCATGACGTACGTGTTTGCCTATTTGTCTAAGATTCTGTCACGGGCGATCATGAGTCGCAATTTGATAGAGCGTTACAGTTTTGTTTTGAATAAAAATGTGCCACTTGTCAATTTGTGTTTTTTTTTTGACTAGCGAATGTTGGCTACATGTTCTGGCATACGGCCACTCTCGTCTTCTGTCAGATTGCCCGGTTTGGGAAGGGGGTGAAATGCATTGGGATTTGTATATTAATTAGCAATTAGCTAGTTAATGTGCCCTTTGAGTCTAAAGACAATACTTAAAATAGGATTATTTTTCATTCGGTTTGTTTTTGAAAACGAGCCTATGATTATATTCTGACACATTGATCATTGAGGAGTACAGCACTAATATACGTAATTTGGTTGTTATTAGAGATAAATTAGAATTGCAGATGATGGATTTTAATTTTTGTATTAACAGTGTGCGTCATTGAATCTATTAGAAACAGTTGTGTGCTTAATAGAGATCGGAAGTTATCTTCGGTAAAATAGTGAATGTGCAGCACTTTCGTAATTCAGAATAATAATTGGAGACTTGTCCATAGAAAGGAACATCTTTAAAGTCTGAATCGTCTTCTGTAAATATGCCTGGTGGTCGACGGAACATAAGTAGAAGTTCGGGACGCCCTCCACCTCCTTCTGTTAATTTGCAAGTTGAAGAAAATCATAGAAACAAATATGTATGTAAATGCTATTCAGCTGACTTTATCCAGTCGAAATTGAACAGGTGACTCTCTTTTACATATTGTCGTTTGGCTCTTTGATATTGAGAAGGTTGATCCCAATTAATTGTTATTATTTTCCAGATCTCTCGGTGATGTATTGGATTCATCAGTGACTAGGCAAATAGTCCCTAAGCATATTCCAGCACCTAACATACCTCAAGATGGGGACATTTTATTTGAAGTGATGATGTTTAGTTTTACCAGTGTGACATCATTTCTTCAGTTTCTACATTTATATCGCACAGTCTGGTGGTTACCACAGTCATACACCAGATATACAATGGTTTGTAATGATCCCATTTTCCCAGAGCTAGTTGTAGTGGCAGATAACTTAAATGGGAATGATTACAGGATGCTCTCAGAATTATTAATCTTTATATTTTGAACAGAATGTAAATATAATTGCCATGAAAATATCAGAATATCATACATATTAATTTAATGGTGTTTCATAACTTGACAGTTAAATACTTTATCAATTGAATATTTTGATCTTTTTCCTCTAAAAGGAAGTTTTTCTCGCAAAAGTGGCATCTCTTTTCCGTTGTTGTGTCACAGCTTTAAGAACACGAGGACAAGATTAAAAATGAAGAATAAACTATTGTATCAATTGTTTGCCTGAGAAAATAATAAATCGCTTAGAAGTTGTAGTATAACTATATGTGACATATGGGAGAGAAGTAAAAGATGTTTAACATAAGAAATCTTCTATTTATTTGATAGATAACCTACAAACAAAATGTAATTTAGCGTGAAGGAACAACTGCGCTCTTCATAATTGGAATACTACATGTAACAAATCATTTGCTTTGCTTTCAGAATTTTTATTTAATTGATCCATACCTTGTGGGATTTATAATTACCATTCTTGGTAGTCGTTTAGTGTACTGTGCCTTATCAAGAATTGTGATGTGGTGGAGTCCTGAATCTTTGACACCTGTTTTGCAGCAGCTTGTCAGGTTTGTGGGAGACAGTTAACATTTTATATTGCTAATAATTTCCAGATCTGTGTTATTCAGCGGTAATCCTTTTTTACAATAATATGCACAATCTGATTAAAAGTGTTATTTTAATTAACTGTGCAGATTTTAATAGGAACATCAAATATAAGCTGTTGATTTCTTTCCAATCATTCAAATTAATAGAACTCATGTTCAAAGTGGATATCACACTCCTCAAAAAAGTCATATCACAAATGTTAACTTCTGAATGTTTTAAAGATTAAAATGTTACTTTTAAACAAGTTTTAAAAGTTGCCTGTCCCTCCCCTCTTTGCTTGTGATCCTTACAGTGAAAAATGTCACCATTACTGAAATGAAAGTCTCTTTTCATTATGTATATGATGGGTGCTATGATACACAAATCCCATAATCTCTATTTATAGCCATTTCTAATGATCTCAATTAATTTCAAGTATGTACAAAGCAACACTGTATGTGGTATTACATAAAAGAAACTTAAAAGAAATATCAATGGAAGATTACGTAATAAATTTTAACATTTCTTTGCTTTTACATTTTCACATCTGTGTAGGTTTTACTATTTAACACTGCATCAGAGGATACGGTTGATCTCACCCCTTTAGTGTAGTTTCTTAAACTTTTCTGCAGGAGTAATAGTTAAAAAAAATTGGGATGAAATGCCACTCCCCAAGGAGGTGACTCTGTAAAAACACTGGTTACTCAAAAGGTCTAATTTCCTTATTTTCTTCGTTCCATGTTCCATTATCACTCCTGCTTTTAATGTTTGGATAAACAATACCATCCCCTGTTTAGGAGATTTATTTTGCATCAAGTTAAGGTGTATGTTCATGTTCATTTTTTCAGATTAATTTTACTTGTTGTGGTTTTGTCATCTCTTGTGTGGTGTGCATATCATGTTATGCAAAATCATCCAATTGTCAACATTTTTTACCTCTGCTACCCGTGAGTAAAATCCTTTCAACAAGAGTATGAGTGCTGTAAGAATGTAATAATGAAGTATGTCCTTTGTCTTGCAGAATTTCTGTGTATTTTATTTTATTTGGTCTGAGTATAAGTCCATTCTTTGACATAAATGCTCTGCCTCCTGTCTTGAAGGATGAGTGTAAATTAAGGGGATTAATTGGTAAGTGAATGGTTTCATTACACTAATAAATAGAGTTGACTGTATGAAATAAATTCTTTTGTTGTTTCATGTCTACATATAGTTACCATATTTGTCCTGATTGTAGCTTGGGCTATGTTAAACATTATTTTCTTTCTAGACTGGCTACTATTAAAACTCCAACTATTGATTGAAAGTTAAGAAAAAAAGATTAAAATTCTTTCTTTAAATGTTCCTCAAAAATTTCTGAACCATCATTGTCAGTTGCATAAATTACTACTTATTCTTCTTGCTCTTTGCTCTTGTGATTATAGCTCTTCTGATCTCTTTGTTCACATTTCATGTTCTTCTACATTCTTAACCTTTTCCTGTCCATATTTCAGTGCTGCGTAACCCCAGAAAGTACTCCCATTCCTTGCCATTCCTACTTGTGTGTTTGAAAGCTATTTTGTAGGCTTGTCATTCCTACTTTGAGTAGTCAAGTACCCAACAATGACAAGGAATGGGAATGAGAGGTGGTGATTCACTGCACCAGGATATAGTGAAATAAACACAGATATTATGTGTTTCTACATTAAAAATTAAGTTTTCTATTGTTGAGATTATTAATTAGGAATTGGACCATCATCTACAAAATCAGTGAAAATGTATGACCTTCTGTTTGCAGTACCACCTGGTCCAGTTGCAATTGTTAGTTGTTGTTATGCCCATCATTGCTTAGACGACTATCACTTTTCATTTCACAGAAAAAGTCATTATCATCACTACTGATGGTCTCTGAATCACTAAAGTTACCAACATATAATTCTTCCCCAATTTCATCCTCTTATCCTTGCCATGATAGTTGTTTACAAACCTGATGTTTAAATTGGTGGTTTGTGCTCTCCTTTTGTCTCATATTTTTAGTTCTTACTAGAAACTTCATGGAAACACTTTCAACTGTTGTGCTAGCATCACATACTTCACTAGAACACCGATACATTGTGGTCAATGCAAAAGAGTAGAGCAATTTGAAATCATTGTAGTACTGATTTTATCCTTTGTATGCTAGATCCAGATAATCGGTTTTCTGGGCAGTGGTTTTGTCCATCCAGACAAACGTCAGGTTGTACTGTTTTCTTCTCTTTGTAAACAGGCTATAATTGAGCTACATTTAGTGTCCTGGCTACAATGAGGTCAAGTATAATATGGGTTGCAGGACACTATGTATAGGATGTGTTGTAAGACAATATAAAGGGATCAAATGACTTTGTCCAAAATGAAGTCAAAAATCAATCGCATGAATATGAAATAGGTATAAAACTTCTTAATTAAAACAATTTTGGTCAAGATAAACATTTGGATTGTAGAGACAGCGAAAACACAACAATATTTCTTCACCGTGGATGAACTATATAAATAATATTACGAGGGTAATTTTCTATTCTTTTAGGATTCATGAACAGTCAGTTCCAAATTTGTGGGAACATTAGGGAAGATGTTGCATATTCCAAAGTTATAGGTTAAATAGAAAATACAAATATTAAATGTTAACCTTAAGTTATTGTGTATTAAGTATAATGTATCAAGCTTAACTGAACTCTCGAACATTAACAATGTCACTTGGACAATGTTGATGAGGGAGACACAGATAAAAAGATAGGCAAATGATTAAGGGAAGCCACTTGTTCTATTTTTACATGTCCAAAGTTGATGCAAACAATGAAGAAGTTACAGCTTATTTCTAGAATTGTGCATCAGGTTGTGCTGGTACTTACTCGCTTATACACATCAATTTTTATATTTGAAAGGCTTGGATTTAGATAATTCTAAGCCACATTTTCATTGAAATTAAAATTTGCCTACTAATGTACTCTCCATGTTGATTGTTGACTGTACTATAAAAGTATTTATTCTTTGACAAAGACTGTTCGATTGAAACCTTCATCGTCTTATTTCTCAAAATTATCCTGAAGTAGCATAGATCTATATAGAGCCAAACTCTATTTAAAGAAAGTGTTATTTTGACATATGGAGAAATTATTTAATTGATTTCCTTCTCTGCCTTTGTTTTGTAGGTAAGCCAACGCACACCTGTTCGCTCTCTCCTCAAGTTATTCGAGAAGAGGTGGAACATTTAAAAACAGATTTCAACAACAGAATGAAACAAATATTATTTAGTTCAGTTCTCAATGCGTATTATGCAGGATTTGTTCCTTGCTGTTTTGCACAGGTTGGTTCAACAAGTTTGATTTACACATTATTTGACCGTATATTTCTCATAAGTAAAGTGATACCCCGAAAATAAATAAAATTATTATGTATGTGTGGTAAGACATGGTCATTTTATATTCTGTTCAAAAATTTATTTTCTTCCACTACATTGTATTGCCAAATTTCTAAACATGAGTAATGTGTGTTGTTTGTCCATTTCTACATATTGGGCCACCTGTGATGACTCTGAGGCAGCAACCTATCTACTACAACATTATTGATTGGGAGGGTTCAAGTGGGGTTGAAGCCCTGATGGCAGCAAAGTTTTGACATTAGCTAGAGAGCTGGGTTGAATACAATCATAGTCTGTAAGAGAGTCCACACAGACAGCTGCTCTGATCATAGTTTTCTGGTCAGTAGCAAGTGAATGCTGAAGCACTACCATAAGAAATGGGCCAAGGACCACACACTATTTTTGACCTCTCCCAACCTCCTTGCGCGCACACTCCACACACACACTCACACTCTCCCATGTCAGGAGGTTAGAGCATGTCCAAGAGGGGGAGTGACAGGGTAACTAAATTTTTTGGTTAAAACTGGGAAACCCCAGAGAACTCTAAAAAATTAGGAAGCAAAAATTTACTGAAAAAATGCAGGGACAGCTGGTCACTTAAAAAAATGTGCATTGTATGCATGCCTAAACCTTGTTGAGGTAGTAAAGCCTACTAGTGAATTTGACTATGTGTTTATGGGAGGCTCCTACATCAGTTTGTGCTAAGTGAAGGTTACAAACTTCAAGGCATTGTTGAGAGGTCAAAAATAATCACTTTTTGCCAATGAACATGTAGTGGGAAATTATTTATAATGGAATTACGCATGTGACAGTTGTTTGTGATTGTTAAGCAAACTTGTATGCATAGATGTGTGGCAGGTACATGCATTCTCTTTGATTGTATCAGTACGTGACCTGCAGAACATCTGTACATAAGATGCAAAAAATATCGGGGAGGAATGTAACATGTGTAACTCTGTTATCTTTAAATTCCCACTGTATGTTCGTTGCCAAAAAGTTATTATTTTTGACCCTGCTAGAAAATTCTAATTCTTATTGTGAGATGCCTTCAGAGGCAGGGAGATAGCTGCATTTGTGACTGAAAGACCAACTCTAATATATAAATACTTGAAGTAACCAGGCATTCCCAATAGTTATTTTTCATAAACATCTCTTAAGAGGAAAAAGGAATGTGTCAAAAGGAAGTGACTTGTTTTTGTATTACACCCACACCCCTCCGCTCCATTCTTTCAGAGAAGGTTACCATAAATTTCCTTTTAATTAGAAGTATTCAATGTATTTAATTATGTTAATGAATTCAATTGTATTGTGGCAACATGTGCTTTTTTTACATTTTGATGTACTCCTTTTTTTTCTCCTCCAGAGCTTTCTTTATTATGATGTATATTGGGCAACACAACACTTAGCATTTGTGTGGCTTGGGTGCTTTACAATGTACATAGTACATTGTTACCCAGTGAAGTAAGTGTGTATATTTTAAATATATATTTTAATGCTCTTTCTTTCACGACCTCAGCTCAAGTTGTGATCAATGGAATTTCTTGGCTTTCAGGTATTGTGATGTTCTTCATCGAGCTGCACTACATTTAGGCCGCTGGGCAAAAATTGAAGGGAGGTCATCTCATATTCCAACCCATGTGTAAGTTTGTTTATTAATGGCATCAGCTGAAGCTCTGATATACACATATCAGAGCTTCACAATTCAAGCTATCTCAGTAAAACACACCTTATATAATCTACTAACAAAGTTAGAATCAACCCCATCACAATTGGTTATCTACTTCATCCAATTGCCCAATGGTTTCCTCTTCATCAGGAGAATGAACAGTATGGCCTCTCCTTGAATAAGCCAAAGATCTTGACCGGAAAACTGTCACTTGAGAGACAGTTCCAACTCTTGACAGCCTTGTGATGAGTTTCCTTTGAGCTCTAGCCTTTACATTCTTCTTCTGAAGCTTCAGATGATGTCCATGAGGTTTACTATCAGTGGCTTTAATGAAAATCCCATTGAAGGTTTGATTGTTGCTTCTGCCATTTAGGGCACTAAATGTTTCAACAATGTTTTCCCCTCTCTTCTTTGTTGTACTTCTTTTTTCTTTTATGTCTCTCAGAATATATGAGGTAATGAAGTTTGTTGGGCATCCATGCCATTGTTTTCTTTGAACTTGAGTTCCTTTTTAAATTCTTTTATTATAAGAAAGACTTGATGGTATGATGTATATCATATCTGCTTTCTCGATGAAATTAAAACGGTCTAATTTAGCTCACTTTATCCATTATTTTCCAAGTTGTGAAAATATACAGTATTCAGAATTAAAAGACATTTATTTATAATTTTTGTGCACCTAAATCTTGTTAGCAGAAAGGTGATTTAAATAGTTGGAATACCATTAAAAAATTGTAACAGGAACAAATTCCATGAAGTTAACCTTTTCATTGTTTCGTACACGTTGTGCTGTAAACTGAAACGTAAACTGAAGTGTGTAACAAAACTAAATTCTGAGGCATATTGAAGAAACTATTGACTAGAAACAGAGCTACCTCTGAAACTTTGCTATGACTGGGAATTTTGTTTCATTCCAAGAATGAAACTGTATTATTGAGGGAATTTAGTTTCTTCCCAGAAGTTTTATTCTACAGTCATTTATCTTATTTGCAATTTACGACAGCACAAAAAGGATTAGTTTCGTTCCTAGAATATAAATTTCATTTCTACAATTTACAATTGAATATGGGTATGCTCTGGGTACGAGCAGTGCAAGCAAAACCCTTGGAGGGGCAAGCCAATAACAATTAAGGAAAGCTATGTTAATTTGAAGAACTAACAGTTTGTTCTCTTCCAAATGCCAATTATAGATAATTAGATACTATATTAAATTAAAACATTTATTTGCCCCTTTTTTATGCTAAAAAATTGTAATATGTAGATCTCTATTGCCTAACAATATTATAAACTCATTAATTTTCCAATAAAATGTTTCCATTTAAAATTAATTATGTACAATATGCTTGTACTTTTGCTTATGAAACTGAGAGAGGTCATATTTTAGTTGCACAAGACTTTGCATGGGAGAAAGAGTACCCCAAAGATAGTATTGTTTCCTAGGGGTGTTCTAATAACAGGAAGTTTTAACTTGGTACATAAATGAAAGTTAAATCTTTAATATTATATTTATTTAAATTTATTGATACAAATTTAGAATATTTCTCATATACAGGAAGTCAGTGTATCTGTCTTGCACTAAAAATATGGTATCTGAATGTATCTATGTTCAGTTTTGAAAAATATTCATTGTTTGCTACTGTGCACCTAAAAAATGCAACATTTTGCAGCATCAAACAGCATCTGAATTGTGGAAAGCACATGAATCATCCTGCGAGCACTGCAGTGCTGTAATATTAAAGTTTTGAACAGAAGGATGCATCAACTTAGTATACCTGCTGTTGAAATAGCATCAACTTTTGCATTTCAATTTGATTGATACAATGCTCAGGAAATAACATGCTAATTGCACAAGAACACTATACTGATTTACAAAAGTATCATTTGCAGAGGTGCAAAGGTATCATTTGCACCTTCACTGGTCTGAGATGTATTGCACTTCTCAATTTATGTTTAGATTTTTGTTTTGAAATTTGATAAATATATGAATATTTGTGAGTTTATGAATGTTTATGCAGGTAAAGACTCAGAACGTAGCGGAATAAGATAGGTGAATTTGGATCACAACCAAACTACAAGAGGATATTACTAATAATAATAATAATAATAATAATAATAATAATAATAATTATTATTATTATTATTATTATTATTATTATTATTATTATAATTACTATAAACTATATTATTCTATTCTCAAAATAACCTAGAAAAACAATTTTTTACGATTTTATGAAGTTTTTGCCTTAGTTTTTTAGTTTATTTAACTCACATTTAATTTTTTTAATTTATCCGTTTGCATTTTTGTAAAATCAGCTTGGAATTGTATTTTATATTTTTTTCTTTCTTTCTCTGAACTGACTCACCAACATAAGAACCTTTAGTGTTTTTTTATAATATTTATAATTTTGGTAAATATTTATCTATAAAATGGAATAACATTTTAAACATTATTGAACTTATTTGAGAGAATTTTCACAAAAATAATAACAACAAATCTATTTTGGATAAATTTGTGTTAATCGATACATAAATCAGCCAAGTTGAAATTATAGCTCCTTTCATACTCAGTACCATCTCTCATTATAAAAATAATTGACAAGTGATAATTATCCGGAATGTCAGGTCTTATCATATCTCAATGATCTTTTTGTTATTTAGATAATGATACTCCTGCAGAGGACTTAATTTAGGAGAAATTCCCTTGCAATTTATGAAGCCTATTTCTTCAAACAATGTTGATTATTAAGTAATATGTTGATTATTAAAAACATGAAATGATCTACAAAATGAACTAAATATTCATGCATGAGCAACTTGAATATAATTTGGACTCTTGTGATATCTCTCTATAAATTTGAGTAATTGCTTTATTTGGGAGTCCGGTGTCTTCGGGATTTATAATCTGCCTAGTGCAGTGTCATTGAGCAAGTTGCTGCAACTTCTACTACTAGTAATAATAATAATAATAATAATAATAATAATAATAATAATAATAATAATAATAATAATAATTAAAAAAATATGACTGAAAAAAGGATAAAGTTACCAATTCGGTCTTTTAACTAAAGTATAATATTTAGGAAATATAATAAGCACATAACTTTTGGTAATAATTATTTTATGGAAGAAAAAGTTAAGGGAAAATTGCTGGAATGAATAGAGTGCAAGGAAAATGAACTTGCAGAAGACAAAAAACTGTATTGGAAGGCGTGAAGGGTCAAAAGATATACGTAACTGGGATTAGGAATGCTACATCACAGTTAAGTTCACAAGGTGAACTTTGAATGTGGCAATAACTAAGGAGCGGATTTCTATGATTTTGCATACTTTTGTCCATTGCTTCTCGACATAGCTAAGTGAAATTTCATGACATTTAGTTAGAATTGGATGCTGTATATTTTAATGTTTGAGCATATTTGGCCGATTTTTCCAGTTGGTGTATATTCATGTAATTATAGATGAATGTTTGGCATATATTGCATAAAATACAGGCTTATCTCTGAAATGTTTTATCTCTTCAGATAATCTATTTATTTGTGAGAATTCATTGATTAAATTGAGTTTGTCATTGTTAGAATTTTTTTTCCTTCTCTGTAAACGATCAAATACTTGTGCAAATGTAGGATATTCCTTTATATCACATTTTTTAAAGCAGGCAGAAGAAATGCAACAGGACATACAATGTACTTCACTTAGGTGAATATTTACTTCAATTATATCTCTCACAAAATAAGTTAAGATTGTATTTTGTTTCCACAAAAATATATCTTTTCATTCAAATTTTTTTTCCTCCTGAATTTTATTACGAAAGGCATATAGAGGATATTGTTAATTTAGAATAGTTAACATTATGATATGATGAAATTAAATACAGCAATGTCATCAAAAGCTGCATCTCTTTAATGAAATAATTTTCTTTTATAACACCCTTTTTTGTATATTATAATCTTTTGCCCTCATCGCAAAGTGATGAAATAATACTTTTGTATCTATAGTCAGCTACCCCCAAAAAAATATTATTTTAGGACAGATGAGATCCAGACACTACTTGAGGAAAGATCTCTGTGCTTTTTATCAAAAAATATTTTTTGCACTTATTGAGATTCATAATATTAAAATGTAATATAATCTCTATCATAGGGAATGATGGGGAGCCCATTGAAATGTTTCTAGGTCCAGGTGTGTCTCACCCTTTTGAATTGGCCATTTGCAGATACTTCTGTTCTTTTTATGGTGTCTGTGTTACAAAAACTTGAATGATTTACCATGACATTCGCCTACAGATTGTACATGTTCTTGTGCTTGGAATTTAACTTTTAAAATTATAATTTATTTTGTTTTTTAGATTTTTATAATGTTGCAAGACTTTTTTTTTTTAATGGTACAAATTGCTTGTCTTTTTGAGTCAATGATAAAATGGATTTATGAACTTTGTTCAGCTATTTTTTTATTTTATCTTGCAGATGGGCCGAGGGCACATTGTGGCATCAAGGAGCATTAGTGAAGCATTGCAAGGAGTTGTACAAAGCAGAAGGAATATCTAATGCAGCAGAACCTGGAAACCAGACACATGCGAGATTCTATGTAAGTCTTGCGTAAACTAGTCTCACTAAGTTTTATGTAGGAATTGGATGCCTATTTTTGACACCTTTTAGTAATTTTGTTCTGAAGTGTAAATTTTAAGATATTGCATACTACATCTCATCTTTAATATTATCAACTATCTGGTAAATTTTGTTAGTGTAATAATTGCTTTTTCACTTTTATCCTCAGTGTTACCCTATTTCTTTGATTAACATGTTAATTCAGTGGCTCTCTACAGCTAAGTAGAACTGAGAGTTTTTGAATACACATTACTGAAATTGCAGTGAGAGTTGTACAATAGTTAACTGAAATTGGGCAGAGCTATCTTCAATATCATTAACGCCTTTGATCTGATGTATTATATGATTCTTAATTTCGTTTGAATCCTTTTGTATACTTTTTTTAGTTTTTATCCAATTTATAAAATTTAGTTTTAAATCTGGCAGAGTAATTGTGTAGACAATCTTCTAAGATAGCAGAAACACAAAATTGCTAGTTGTAATGATCATGTTCCATCATATACATTATAGACTTTGCAATTTCTTTAATGATATTTAATTAGTAAAATAACTTTCAAAATATGATGAATGTGAAATTCTATCCACACAAACTATGAAACCAATATTGAATCACTACCCAACTTATAAAGCTGCCATTTCTTCAGCCAAAAAAAATATATATTTTTTAAATCAAACCAATTTAATTTTTTATTAACCTTGTTATTTGTGTTCGTAAAATAGTTTTCATTCAGTATCATTTTTCATTACCAAACATGTTTTGTTCAATATCTCTTATTTCTGTTGTTTCTCAGCTTTTTGTGGTTCTTATTAGTTAGTTGTCTAAATGGGCTCTGTCCTTTGAAAACTGGAAAATGGCTTCAGGATTGTTGCAATATTCATGCATGGTAGATGTTTAAATAAGAGGTGGTATGCAGAGGTGTTTTGCACATGTAGTAAGAAATTTGTTTCATATGATTTTGCAGGCGGTGTTTCACAATCCCTCTGTCTTCGTGTGTTCTCTCCTCGGTCTTCAATTATCTGTTGTTTTTGTACAAATTGTGGTCCTTGTTAGATCATCTGAGTGGTACCATGTGGTGTCTTTAGCCCTCTTATTGTTTGCTAACTATTACACCCTTTTCAAATTGTGCCGTGACTATCTGGTCTGTTGGAAAGTGTATAAGGCAGAACAAATGATTCAAGACAAGATTGGGGGTTGAAATATCTCCACAAAAGCCGGTTCCACATGAAGCAGTCTAGCCATTTTGATTGTAACAAAACATTTGATTGTAATGATTGAAAATGTTATTTTTTATAGTACTTGTTTAGTTATAGAAAAACCTTCAATCTTTTCATGTAAAAGTGTTTTTTAAATGCTGTTTTCCCGATTTGATTAAAGGTCAGAGTGACAAAAAGGCGATATTCATTAGCAATTACCCTTTCAAGTATCTATTGTTTAAGTTGGCATCTTCTGGTTGATAAGATTTCATTTCATGCAAATATTGAATTGTGAACATCTGATAAGAGATGCAATTATGAAACCGAATGTATAACTAGATTGATCATTTTAATTAAAAAATGAAAACCTAAAAATTACATTAAGTGACAAGCACTGCAAACCAAAGTCGATGTTTGTTTGGGTGGGTGTAAAATTAGATGTGAAAAGCTGTTGCCTTATTATTCTACTTCTCTGATGTTACATACAAAAGTAATTCTTTTATATTAATTAATTAATATTATATATATATCTATATATCTATATATCTATATATATATATATATATA